TTACTTTTTTCCCGCAGTCTCTGGTCATTCCTGTACTTGCCCCCGCACATCTCCTGTACTATGTCTACAGTCTCTGGTCATCTCCTGTACTGTCCGCAGTCTCTGGTCATCTCCTGTACTGTGTCCGCAGTCTCTGGTCATCCCTGTACTGTGTCTGCAGTCTCTGGTCATCTCCTGTACTGTGTCTGCAGTCTCTGGTCATCTCCTGTACTGTGTCTTGCAGTCTCTGGTCATCTCCTGTACTGTTTCTGCAGTCTCTGGTCATCTCCTGTACTGTGTCTGCAGTCTCTGGTCATCTCCTGTACTATGTCTACAGTCTCTGGTCATCTCCTGTACTGTCCGCAGTCTCTGGTCATCTCCTGTACTGTGTCTGCAGTCTCTGGTCATCTCCTGTACTGTTTCTGCAGTCTCTGGTCATCTCCTGTACTGTTTCTGCAGTCTCTGGTCATCTCCTGTACTGTGTCTGCAGTCACCATTGGTTCAGAATATTTTTTTTCTTGTTTTTCTCCTCTAAAACCTAGGTGCGTCTTATGGTCAGGTGCGTCTTATGGAGCGAAAAATACGTAATTCCTTTGTGGTGCCTACCTCTTGTCACTCAATGAGAAAACCAACGCTGAAAGATTGAAAAAAGGTAAAACTGCACCCCTGAACTAAAGTAAAAGCTACAAATGTTATTACAAAAATCACAGAAATCCATTAAAGACACCCATGGGGTCCCCCATACACTCATTCCCCTGCTAGAAATGGACTTCATGTGCAGTTACAGCGAGACTACTTGGAATTTATTTTTTGTTTTCCGGCTTTTTTTCTTGCTATTTATGCCTTTCTGATGATCATAGTGCAATAGATGTGGTTGGAGTCAGCTTGAGAACCTTGCCTGCTGTGCGGACTATCGTTACCCGCATGAAAGTACTCCAATGGAGGCTGTTTACCCCCGAGAGACAGTGAAAGCAAAGCTGCTGTCATACACTCGGCATATTAAAAGTTCAGCTTTATTTGAAAATCAACCAGGTCACCGACAGCGCTTTCCTGCTTCCATCTTACAAGACACTTTGAAAGTGTACCTGTCAGCTCTTTTGGAATAATAAAGGATGAGTTCACTTTTCTAGGAAAAAAAAAATAATAAATGCACTTATTTTTGTATAAAAAAAAATATAATTTATTATTCTTTCCTTCAGGAGCCTGGAAAGCATTGCATCCGTGGTGATTGGATAAGGGGTGCAATGTCAGGCTTCTGCAGACAAGCCCTGCAGCTTTCAGCCCTTACCTCCATACAGACTGTCAGTTACAAAGCTGCAGAGCTTGTGAATGACCTAAGAGGGCGCTCATCAGCACTTTTGCAGTTCATTCAGTACTACAAGCTGTCTGCCATGGTGGAGAAGGTACTTGTAGTTAATCACTTAGCCTAGGTCAGGTGTAGGCAACCTGCGGCTCTCTAGCTGTTGTGGAACTACATTTCCCATGAGGCATTGCAAAGATTACAAAACTGGCAGTTACAGCTGTGACTTGCAGAGGCATGATGGAACGTGTAGTCCTGCAGCTCTCCAGTTGCCTATCCCTGGCCTAGGTTCACACTACAGCAGTGCATTCCTGTGCAAATCACATGCGATTTGTATGGCTCTATTCGCACCGCACCCGCTCCAAAAACGTGCAGGACCCTTTTTTGGTCCGCACTAGAATCGGATCGTATAGGTATTCACACATCGCACCACATTTTGCGGACCGATGTTGGGGAGTTGTTAAGTTTGATGCGATTGTGATGCGGTGCGGAATTCACACTGAAAACGCTGCAAATTCCGCACCGCATCAGTGTGAACCCGGGCAGGGGTGTTTGTGTGTGTGTGTGTGTGTGTGTGTGTGTGTGTGATGTTGAAATGCGTTTTTTATATATTACAAAATAGCTGAAAAATATTTTTAAAAAATAAATATTTTTTAAATATATTCTTCTGATTTTTTTTAACACGTAAAAAAGTCATTTTAAACATATATATTTTTACATATATTTGTAAAAGCATTCCAAAAATGTAGATTTGTATTTTTAAAGGCATACAGTATATTTGAAAATGTATTTTTTAAAATATTTTTCATGTATTTTGTAATAAAAACACATATAATTATATGTTAAAATGAATGTAAGGCAGCGTCCGTAATCATACATCTGGTCATTTCTACAAGAGTGCGATTCTTTCATTCCGCTACACCGTTTTGCTCAGGAGTGTATGGTACGGTTGTTTGGTGTATAATACCTTGTTTCTTTAGGTTTGATTCTATCTCTTTATTCATATATTCCCCTCCATTGTCAGTGCGTATTATTCCAGGTTTCCTTTGAAACTTGTTGCTTGTCATAGCTACAAACTCTTGAAGTTTTTCTAATGTCTCACTTTTGTGCTTCATTAGATACGTTATTGTGTACCGGGAATAATCATCGATGAAAGTCAGTAAATATCTGTTCCCGCCAGGTGTGATGGTTTTCATTGGTCCGCACACATCACTGTGTATCAGTTCCATGGGTTTAATGGTTTTACTCTGACTGGTCTGTGGAAGAGAGGTTCGGGTGGCCTTTGCTTTGATGCAACACGTGCACTTGCTGAGTGTGTGGCAAGGCAATATTTTCATGTCTTCTGATAGACCTCTCTTTGCAAAGTCCTTTATAGCTTCTGGGTTTCGATGCCCCAATCTTCTATGCCACAGGTGGATGCACTTGTCATGTGGGTTATGAGTTGCCGCATTAGCCTTCTCACTTTCAGTGACTATTTTGTACAGATGTTCATTTAATCTTCCTCTTGCTAGAATTTGCTTTCCATTTTGAATTGTGCATTCATTACCTCTGAACTGGACAGCGAGTCCATTGCTTGCAAGGGTTTTAACTGATAGGAGGCTTCCTTCTAGGCTTGGAACATATAGAACATTCTTTACAAGGATGCTCTGCTTGCCCCCCAGTTCAGAAATCCCTGACCATTACCTTCCGCTGTAATACTTTTCCCATTTGCTAGGAAGACTTTATCTTTTACACTAAAATCAATTTCTGTGAAGAATGTCTCGTCGCTTGTCATGTGACTTGTTGCCCCTGAATCAATGTACCATCCGTGTGAGGTACTATTCTGAGTCACTTTAACCATTAGCCGCCCCGGCCAATGGCCGTTTGGCGGCTTCAAAAGTGCTTCTGCACTCCGGGTGTACGCCATTTGGCGTGCTCCCACACATGCGCAGTTTGCGCTAATGCAGAGCGGCGCAGCGGCGCGACCTGTCACCAGCCGTGTACCGCGGACACGGCCGATGACAGATCTGAGTACCGGCCCCCGTTGCAGGTACCATGTGACCTGCTGTGACCAATCACAGCAGGTCACATGACAGTTGTATACAATGGATGGCTTCATTCGTGATGCCATCCATTGTATACAGTTGCAAGAAAAAGTATGTGAACCCCTTGGGATTACGTGGAGTTTTGCATGAATTGGGCATAAAATGTGCTCTGAACGTCATCTAAGTCACAACAATAGAAGAACACAGTCTGCTGAACATAATACTACATCAAACATTAGATGTTGCCATGGTTTAATTGCACATAACATGTAAACATTCACAGTGCAGGGAGGAAAAAGTATCTGAGGCCCTAGCTTAATGACTTCTCCCAGAGCTAATTGGAGCCTGGAGTGAGCCAACCTTGACTCCAATCAGTGTGATGATATTGGATGTGTTGCTGACAGCTGTCCTGCCCTTAAAAAACACACACCTGTTTTGGGTTTACTGGTTTCAAGAAGCACTGTCTGATGTGAACCATGCCTCGCAGAAAAGAGCTCTCAGAAGACCTACGATCAAGAATTGTTGACTTGCATGAAGCTGGAAAGGGTTACAAAAGTATCTCCAAAAGCCTTGATGTTCATGTGTCCACGGTAAGACAGACTGTCTACAAATGAAGAAAGTTTAGCACTGTTGCTACTCTCCCTAGGCGTGGTCGTCCTGTAAAAATGACTGCAAGAGCACAGCGCAGAATGCTGCATGAGGTAAAGAAGAATCCCAGAGTGTCAGCTAAAGACCTACAGAAATCTCTGGCACATGCTAACATTTTTGTTGACACATCTACAATAAGGAAAACATTAAACAAGAATGGAGTACATGGGAGGACACCACGGAGGAAGCCATTGCTGTCCAAAAAGAATATTGCAGCACGTTTGAAGTTTGCAAAAGAGCACCTGGATGTTCCACAGCACTACTGGCAAAATATACTGTGGACAGATGAAACCAAGATTGAGTTGTTTGGGAAGAAACACAACACTATGTGTGGAGAAAAAAAGGCACAGCACACCAACATCAAAACCTCATCCTCACTGTGAAACATGGCGGAGGGAGCATCATGGTTTGGGGCTGCTTTGCTGCCTCGGGGCCTGGACGGATTGTTGTCATTCATGGGAAAATGAATTCCAGAGTCCATTGTCCTGTTGCATCACCCATCCTCTGCGGAGCTTCAGTTGGCAGACAGATGGTCATATGTTTTCCTGCAAAATGTCTTGATAAACTCTGGAATTCATTTTCCCATCAATGACAACAATCCGTCCAGGCCCTGAGGCAGCAAAGAAAACTGCCTCAGGGCCTGGACGGATTGTTGTCATTGATGGGAAAATGAATTCCAGAGTTTATCAAGACATTTTGCAGGAAAACGTACGACCATCTGTCCGCCAACTGAAGCTCCGCAGAGGCTGGGTGATGCAACAGGACAATGACCAAAGCATACAAGTCATTCAACAAAACAATGGCTGCAACAGCACAGAATACGCCTTCTGGAGTGGCCCAGTCAGAGTCCTGACCTCAACCCGATTGAAATGCTGTGGCATGACCTTAAGAGAGCGATTCACACCAGACATCCCAAGAATATTGCTACACTGAAACAGTTTTGTGAAGAGGAGTGCTCCAAAATGACTCCAGATCGTTGTGCAGGTCTGATCTGCAACTACAGGAAACGTTTGGTTGAGGTTATTGCTGCCAAAGGAGGGTCAACCAGTTATTAAGTCCAAAGGTTCACATACTTTTTCCTCCCTGCACTGTGAATGTGTACATGTTATGTGCAATTAAACCATGGCAACATCTAATGTTTGTGTAGTATTATGTTCAGCAGACTGTGTTCTTCTATTGTTGTGACTTAGATGACGTTCAGAGCACATTTTATGCCCAATTCATGCAAAACTCCACGTAATCCCAAGGGGTTCACATACTTTTTCTTGCAACTGTACTAGTGCCTAGCTGTGAATGGTCACAGCTAATCACATGCACATGTCATGTGATTAGCTGTGACCAAATCACAGCTAAGCACAAAAAAAAAAACAAAAAAAAAAAAACCTGAATGGATCGATTTCATTCAGGTAAATGCTTGCTTATAGCAAAGTAATTCTTTGCTATAAGCAAATTGTGAAAAAAAAAATATACTGATCACTTCCCCAAAGTAGTACAATGTTACTATGGTAACATTGTACTACTTTGGTCATAGTAAAATTTGAAAACAAAATCTTAAAAAAAAATAAAAAAAAGTAATAAAAAATTAAAAAGAATACAAAAAAAAAAAAATATATATATTTTTTTTTTCATACTGTCACCAGTCAGTGTCCCTGTTCACCGCCATGCCA